GGCCCAGGCGTGAGCCGTGTGGCAGGACAGCGACGCCAGGCCCAGGCGTGAGCTGTGTGGCAGGACAGTGATGTCCAGGGTAAAGTGGTATCTGTTCCCCAGGGTAAAGTGGTATCTGCTCCCCTGAGACCTGAATTATTTTTGGAACGCCAAGACTCCGGTCTTGTCCAGGCTGCAAGCCCAGATCTGACAACCCTGCTCTCCCACTGGACGTGGCAGACTGGGAATATGATCTACAGTATGTGTCAAACAGTTTGAAGCCAACTGAAGAGTGATGGATTTAGACCACGATCCTGTCTCTTTCCAGGTCTCTCTCACCGAGGGCAGGGGCACGGGGTCAATGACCAGCCATTTCTCAGTAACAGTTTCCAGCTGCTGTCCACCCAGAGGCTCCCTGATCCGCACTCGCACCTCCAGGTGCCCCCCAGTGGACTTGCGGCCATCCAGCACCTGCGCACACAGTCAGACAGTCAGACAGTCAGAGTTTGTCTTGTGAGTAGGCCTTCACAGGTGTGTATGTCACAAAGCAGGGCGTCACCAGCGCGCCTCTCACCTCCAGCAGCTCTCTGATCTCACACCTCGACTCCAGGGCCTCCAGCTTCAACTGCACTGTGCCGACAACCTTGTCGTTCTTGAACAGACCACTGGGGAGACACGCACAGTATCAGCACTGCACACACACGCACCAAGACACCAGAGACACAGGCAGACAAAGCATCAGCACTGCAACTGCGCACACCCACACAAAGACAGGAGAGACACACACACTGCGACAGGAGACAGGAAAAGAACACTGCTTCAGTACTGCGTCTGCGCATGCATGGACTCCGAGACAGGAGACAGGAAGATGCACACTGCATCAGCATGCATACAAACAGGAGAGACAGACACATACCGTATCAGCACTGCTTGCACACACACACACACACACACACACACACACACACACACACACACAGATGCTGGTCAGACAGACTCACCCCTTGTGGACAACCTCCAGCTTGATGCCCTTTGACTGGACAACCCTCTTAAATGCCCGATGACCCCGGTTGATGTTGAGCTTGAAATTCTCCCCAAACTCTGCATTGTGAGGGGGGACAGGGTGATACAGTGTGATACAGGATTAGAGTGGTCAAGTGTCTCAGAATGTTATAGTGTTAGACTGACACACAGTGACACAGTGGGACAGTACCTGGGCAGTTGGTGTTCTTCACTGTGTGCGTCCTGTCTCTCTGAGCTTCCTCCTGGAAACAGGCCAAAAGGACCAGAGTCAGTGGAGCACAAAAAAACAGACAGCTCCTACAGGACACACGCGCTCCTGCAGGCAGCAGGTCTGCCAGACACAGGCGCTCCTGCAGGATACATGCAGCCCTGCAGGCAGCAGGTCTGCCAGGCACAGAGAACGTAGAACAGGCGTATGCGGATCTGCACATGTCAGCATGTATGTGGGTCTGTGTGTGGCTGCCCGTGTGTCTTACCAAGCTGGGAAAGGGAAACTCAAACCGTACGCTGGAGTCCAGTTCGTTCGACAGCCCTGGTCAGAAAGAGCCACAGACATGAATACATCACAGTTGTTACACATCTGTACAGCTTGAGAATTTGTGCACACCCTAATAATTGCTCCTAGAGCAATATCTCACTGAAAGTGACGCTGTACCTGTGGGCGCTGGCAGGTTGATGCCCTTCACTATCGTCAGCAGGAGCTCGTTACTGTTCACCTCAGGGAAGATCCTGCAAGGGGAGAAGAAGAGTGAATAGAAAATATTCAGGAAGAGGATATAACATGTACTTCTCCTTGGCATGTCAGTGACAGTGACAGACTCGATGGCGTTGAAGGTGCATCAGGTGTGTTGGGGAGCAGTACTGACTCCATGGTGGTAAAGTTGCATTAGTGTGTCAGGGAGCTGTACTGACTTAATGATGTTGAAGGTCCTCTCCTCTGTGTGGTGCTTGGGAACAGGGCAGCCATGTTGCAGCGCTTGCTTCAGCATGTCGATGCTCTTCATACACTCCTCCGCCATCTTCTCGAACCTGAGCCCGAGGGAGAGAGGGGGTGAATCCGAGCTGGACACAGGGAGAGGGATGGGCTCAGGCACAGAGATGCAGGGCGACAGACTGACCTGCTCGTTTCAGTGACATTGCCCAGGTGTGTGAACTGCTCAGAGTAACTCAGACATTTCTGCGGAGAAACAGAGACAGTCAGCACCTCTCTCCGACGCGGACAGTGGGCTACCGGAGACGGTCACAGCTGCCGACCTTGTGCTGCTGCCGCAGGCGGTCCATCAGCTGGGCGTACTGCTCGGCGCTGCGGGCCGACACCGGGGCGCTGCGTGACTGGACCAGGGTGTAGTCATCCACGCTGACCGGAGCCGGAGGCACCTGAGCGTGGAACAGGCAGCAGTAAAGAGACATGGGAGTGAGACACCCATCCCAGACCCACCCCTCCGCTGGCGCGTTGCCATAGTCACTTATCACCGCAGCGCCAGTTACCTTGGTGATGTCAACAGGCAGCCCGCTCTTGGCCGCATTGATCATGGGGTCCAGGCCCTTAGCGTGGCGCAGTTGCAGTGCTGCCCCCTGCAGGTCCTTCTGCTGCTTGGAGCGCAGCGCTGCGCGCAGGAACTGCTGTCTGCGAGTCTGCAGGAAGTCCAGCTGCTGCTGGGCTGCAAGACAGAGCCACATAGTAACAGTACTGCAGGGGTTCTGTTCCAGGTGCAATAACAGTGTGAGAAAACAGTGATGTGCACCAGGGTAATGCCACGAGGCACATACGCTACAGTAACAATGGAATAACACTAACATACAGTGTAATAACACAGAAATATACAATGGGACAATACAGTGAAACACACCACAGTAACACTGTAATGACAATAATATACCTGGGGATAACAGATCACATACATAGTAGTATACACTGGGCTAACACAATGAGCCACACACACTATACACGAAAATAACACAATAATATACATAATAATATACAGCGTATTAACACAATAACATACATTGGGATAACAGTAAAATATACTGGTGTACAGTAATAACATTAAAAAACTTGCTGTAATAACACAATAATAACAGTTAATATATATTGGTATAACACAGTGACACACCAACCTCGGCATACAGACAAACTCAATCAACACTGACTCCTACCCTTCGCCCCCAGCTTGGGTTTAGGGGTGTCAGCTCCGCCCTCACGGGTGGCCTGGAGGCTGGGGCGTGACGGGGCTGATCCTGCCTGTCGCTTGGCAACTGGCTGTACCTCGGGCTGAAGGAGAGGAAAAGGTGGGGCTGTGAGTAAGAGTGAGGAGCGGGCTAGTTGCAAATCTCACCCCCAAATTCTCACCTTCATCACTTTTTCCCCTGGCCCTTCCTCTTCCTCAGCATCTGCATCCTGATTGGCCAGTTTCATAGCTGTCTCAAGCACTCCCATGATGCTCTGATCTCCACCACTGCCCTCTGACCCCTGTACTGGAGGGCACCCTGATGAAGAGAGGTTGTATAAAGAAAGTTATTAAAAAATTCCAGCACCACAGTCACAGGCAAATGAGGGAGAGGAAGAAACAGTCAGGCAGGCAGAGACCAAGACAGGAGAGAGAGACAGACGGGCAGTGACTAACACAGGAGAGAAAGATAATGCAGGTAGTTACCTGGGGGGACAGGCAGTTCAGACAGGTTGACCGGGCGGCCAGCCTTGTGGGCTTTGATGGCGTCCTGGTATTGCTGCAAGAGAGAAAGAGAGAGGGTCAAGTCAGTGTGTATAGAATCCCTTGGTCACACACAGTATAGCATCTCAGAC